AGAATGAACAACCGCATACATAAAAATGACCATTGTTTTTCTCTGAGGAGACCGTATGATGTAGGCCATAGCTGACAGTGTTGTGTCAGAGCAAAGAGCTGATTACCGCTGATCTGAGAAACATACAATCCAGACACAATATCAGCACATAGTGGAGATATGAGAGACATATGCCAATAACAGGAGTATTACATGGCAACTGCATTGCTTGCATTTTAAACAGTATATTTTAAAATAAACTACCACCAATATAGCTTAAGAGTAAAAATCTAATTTTCTTTCCTTTCCACTTTCACTATGGTACACAACCCCACTTTTGGTGGAGAGCTGGTTCAGACACAAAGACCCGTTTCTCTGTAGCTGGTATAGGTACAAAGCCTAACTTCTGGAGTTGCGGTATGGGTATACAGCTCCACTTCTGGAGAAAGAGCATGAATAAACAGTCCCTTTTCTAGAGAGCTGTTAAGGATACACAATATTGCTGAATATCTGGTATGGGTGCAGAGCCTCATTTCTGAAGAGGTGGTACGAGCACTTATCTCCACCTCTAGAAAGGTGGTAAGAATGTATGGTCTCACTTCTGGAGAGGTGGTATGGATACACAAAACCACTTCTGGAGAAGTGATATGGATACACTTCCAGAGCTACTTCCAAATAGGAGGTATGGGTGCAAGGTCTCACTTCTAGAATTGAAGTTATATACACATTTAGGCCTCTAGTAAACTGTAAACAAGCAACACATCTATTGTATATTAACTGCTACTGGCAAGAAACATCAAAATGTACATTTTCTATGTTACAGTCCTACCTTTAATATGTTCTGGGTTTCATTCCACTTATTGGTCCATTCCTTCGTCAACGCTTCTACCTGAAAGATGGTGGATACATTTTAGTAATGGCACATTATCTCACAAAAAAAAACCCGACGAGAGCAACTAAACCCCAACAAGCAGCCTGGATGCCGGTGGATCAACAAAGCACCTCTTCATGTGCAACCAATACAGAAGTAGAAAATACCTAGCAACAATGCCAATGACCTCAGTATGTCTGTTGAGAAAATTCACAGCACATGTAAGGCAATCATGCTTACACATTTCTTACAGTCACCCAATCCTTTATTATTGCAGCTATGGCTAAGGGCTAGGTAACAAAAACACACGTCTAACCATTTTGTCTGTATGTGATGTACTGTGATTGCACTAAACTGACAGTGTTTACTGGAGTGCTACAGCTCGCGGTATACTGAGACGCCGGAGCGGATCCTGACATCGATGTCGAGATCCGCCCAGCTGCGTGAGTGACAGCTGGCTCTGCCTATCGAGAGGCAGAGCCAGCTGTACCCGCCCCTTCCCCCGTCCTTTCCGCCAGTCAGAGCTGGCGGATCGGAGCGGGGAGGGGGAATCCAGCCCCTCCCCTGTCACGGCAGAGAGCCGTGACAGGATCGAGAGGTGAGCGAACCCCGGTATATGTTCGCTCACCTCCCGATCTTCTGAGCCGACCTGTGACAGTCTCATTGTCACAGGTTGGCTAGAACTATCAGGTGAGTGAGAAGCACTCACCTCAGTTCTCCTTTAAGATAGTGAATACTCCTGAAACATTCTCTAGTTGACTACAAGGACTACACACAAATGTGGAATTTGATCAGTTTTAAAAAGTGACATTAAAATGGCAAACTGGTTTTTTTCCCCTCCCCCAAAAGTTAATTAAAGCACTTACCTTAAATCATGTCTATTAATCCGATCTTCTTCTTTCCTGTCCTTTTCAGCCTTCTCTCCAGCGCTGCGGCGGGTCTCCGATCCAGTGCTGACTCCTCTGTGCTTGTTGTCACTTCCTGTCCCACGGTGTCTGCATGCGGGTGCACGCTGTCCATACCAATTACCTTGCGTCTCTCCTCGTCTCCCAGCCAAAAATCTGAACTGCGCATGCGCCCGCCCTTAGGATCCTTTGCGGCAGCCCAAGATTTTTCAGATTTTCGGACGGGAGCGCGCGGCGAAGACACAGGTAAGTTTTAACCTCTTGTAAGGTTTTTAAGGTTTTTGCATACATCTGCTTGCCAGCAGTAGATATGTGCAAAAAAGCTGAAGGTTTAATAACCCTTTAAGTGTGTGGTCTCCTATTTTCTTTGTAAAAGGTAAGCAGATGTTTACGCACAAAGCTCCCCCATCCCACTCCACCCAATAGATACTTATTGATTTTGGGTGAAGATCTTGGTATGTTCAGTTGCGAGACTAGACTAGACAGAAACTTTGAAGCGAATAAATAGGTCAGTAGAATTGTATTCAAACTATCTATGCAACCACCTATCAAGTGTATTTTGTGGGCCTTTTTATAATAATCCTATTCAATATAATTCTCAATATATTTAACATTCCAGCACTGGGACCTGCTGCAAGCTTCACCCTACAAGGACAATAGGGATGCATGGTACTTTTGTACTATCGCTCTATACTGAAGAGTGAAGGACTGGGCACTCAGGGAGTTTTCCCCAACATGTTGGAACTATTGCATTTAAAGACTGAAGAAACAGTCTAATCATTTCAAGTGATGCCCAGGAATTGGAAGCTTTTATCTCTTGCTGTAATCAAGTTATTCAGGGGGAGCTTGAATTAGAAAAGATAGACGCATATAGTGTAGGCACCAAATGATCATATTGCATTGGGAACAATGGAATCAGCAAAAAGAGGCACTTATGGAGTCCTTATATAACTGCATGGTCCATTAATCTGCAAATCTATGAGCACCGTAGTCCATTGCTACTGATTACATTTCCATGAACAGAAAAGAGATTAAAAAAGGAGATTTATGGGGTTAGGGCTTTTCCCCATAGTTCTCCTAAGGGTCACGGGAGAACACAGACTACTGTTCTCCGGTCACCCAAAGCTCAGTATACCGCGAGCTACAGCTCACGGTATACTGAGATGCCGCAGCTGGGACGGATCCCGACAATACTGTCTGGATCCACCCAGCTGCGGGATTGACAGCTGGCTCTGCCTATCCAGAGGTAGAGCCAGTTGTGCACGCCCCCTCCCCATGTCCTTTTTGCCAGTCAGCACTGGATGATCGGACAGGAAGGGGGGGGGGAATCCCTGCAGGGAGCCGTGAGTGACAGTCACAGCTCTCTGCAGGGATAGATCGAGAAGTGAGCAAGCGACGGTATGTGTTCGCCCACTTCCCGATCTACTGAGCTGACCTGTGACAGTTTCATTGTCACAGGTCGGCTCAGATTATGAGGCTGAGTGAAAATCACTCACCTCATAGTTCTCCTTTAAGGCAAGGTCCATTAAAGCTGGTTGCTATGGGTTATTTAACTTTTCATACTACTCTTTTGTTTCCGGATTCACTCCACTAGGAACCAAAACACATGTCAGACATATGCTTGTAAGAAAATACAATTACAATCTGTTAAAGCTGCAACAGTTACTTTAAAAATAAAGGATAGCAGTAAGTTTATTGGAGCTGCTGATGAAAATCCCAATATTTCTATTCCAAAAAGAAAGTCTGCTGTATAATAACAGCTATACATTAAAATGAGAAGCAGCATATCAGCAGCCTAAGCAAACATCATAGCTAGCGGAGGCTTATGAATAAAATATGTGATTTTATGATAATATAGAAAATTACAATGTCTAGAAGTGGGAAGGCATCTTACAGTCTGGAAAAGCAAGTCTCCCTGCAAAATGGTGTTTTGCTGGGAAATTCCGATCACTAAAATGTTTTAGCTCAAAATTAATGCTTACTTTTTTTGCAAGTTATTTTCTAACCCTTTGAAGATCCTAGCGGCAGATATTCACCTCTTGCCACTTGCTTCCAAGTAACAATCTCCAAAATCTGTGTTCTACAGATCTAAGTTCAAAAGCTGTTCTATATAAATTAGGAAGGGATACCTGCATGGAGAAAATAGAGGAAGACACTTTTAAAACTACTTACACGGGCTTCATTCTGCTGCAGTTTTTCTTCCATACTTAAAGCCGTTGGTGAATCCAAGAGTGCAATCTAGAAAATAACATTGAGACGCATTACAATTTTAGAGTAGTTTACACACAAAGATTGTGGTCAAAAAAAGAAAACGCTTGAAATTATTTTAACGGCTACTATCCAGCTGTAAAAAGTTTTTTTGGTACTTAACATTGGGTTTTTGTCATTTAAAATCTGCTTCTGGAGTTCATTAAAAGGCACAGGATTCAGAGACAGTTGGGATATACTGCCACCTACAGCAGGATGTGGACACAGGCAAAAAAAAAGTTGTGGCCAGCCTGGTATAACTCCTCCCACTCTCAGCATGTATAAGTTTTGTAGAGAAGCAGTACTTGAAGTAAGATAACAAAAACACAGAGGGGTGAGATCTGTGTCCCTTAATGAACTACATGAAACTGATTCTATGGTAAGTACAACAATTTTTTTTCTTTTCTTGTTCATGTAGACCCCTTTCAGACAGGCACTTTCAGTTCTCCTTCATAATGACATTCATTGGTAGGCTCTTTCAAGACCGGTGAAACAAAGGATTTCTCAAAATACAGAACTGGATTTCTGAGTCACCAGACCAGAGGTAATCTTGTGTTCAGTGTCAAGCAAATTGGTTTGTCTACAGGCTGGTCCAATTTGTGCCATGACAACAGAATCTTCTGCCTGGAGATGCGTAGAGTGGAACTGAGCAAAAGGAACAGCCTTGAAGGAAGCTATGATCAAGCCCAGAACTCTCATGCATAATCCCAGAATTGGAAGGCTCCTGGGCAGTAAAGTTCAAGTCTGGAAGCAGAGTCAGAAGTATGTATTGGGAGAAGAAAAACTCTGGCTTGAGCCTTATCCAGAATAAGGCTCAGAGACTACATGTGATGTGTACGTTTCAGTGTTGATCTCCAGCCAAAGTCTTGACTTTCCATATCAGATTATGCCGACTGTTCCATAGAAGAGTAGTCCTGATATGCCACAATGGGAATGCCCTAGTAGCGTAAAAAAAGCTAGCATGGCTGTCAGTACCTTGGTGGACCCTCTGGGACAGACCAAAATGGTAGGGCCACAAATTTATAGCGTTGGGTGCCAACCGTAAAAGAGAGGTAGTGTTGATGTTCTGGAAAGATAAGGACATGCAAGTAAGCATTCTTGATGTCCGCAGAAGCTAGAAAGTCTTCCTGATGGAGAGAGGCTATAAGAGACCTGGTGGATTTCATGCAAGCTTATTTGTTCCTGAATGAAGGCATTAAAGCCTTGTGATTTAAGATGGGGTGGATTTTCCCTTTTGGTTTGGGAACAGTAAAAAATAGGAGTATAAACTCTTAAACCTTTATGTCATTGGAACAGTGGTAATGATGGCTCAAAATATTGGCAAGAGCAGCATGGAGGTTTGCTAGCCTGTGAGGAGACAAACGTAGGCTGGGCAACTTGAAGCACAGAGGTGGCAAAAAAATTAAACTCCAGCTTGTATCCCCTTCAATCCACATCTTACCCAGACATTTTAGATGCTTTCTGACCAAGTGTGCACAGAAGCCAATAGATGC